ATATATATAATAGATATAGATATAGATATAGATATAAATATAGATCTATGGAAACTGTTAATCATTTCAGAGCTCTGAAACTTCAAAGTATTTTAGTCATCTCTTGATATCATTTGATCCAGATGGGATAAGAATAATGTAATTGTTTACTGAAAATTTGAAAAATACAGTGTGTTGACCTTGATAAGCAAACGAACTTCAGACTTTAGAGATACTATGTCTCCTTTGAATTATCAATACAAAGTAACTCCAACAAATAATAGACCTGATAGCAACACCACACTTTCATTTCCTAATTATTATTTCCGTTCTACAGCCCTTTGGAATTTTCAAAGAACTTTTGCATGCATCATCCCATCTAACTTTGCTGGAACCTTCAAGGACAGGAAGCTTAAAAATCACAGGGTCTACAGACGAGAAAACTGAGGCTGACAGAAGTAAAGTGTACATAGTCATATAGTCTAAAGCTGGCCAATTACAAATAGCCACGATTCCAACACTGAGACGTCCAAGTCACATGTCCACGTGCAGTTACCTGATTGGTCGATTCTCCTTACTGTCAAAGAGCGAGAAGACGACCTCGAGCTCCTCTCCCAGGTTAGAGCACATGAGGCTCTTCATCTGCACGAACAGGTGGTGACTGCTGGCCTGCACGGGGGTGTCTTTCTTGCGATGTCGATGCTCCATCTGAAGGACACCCCCCAAAAAAACCACAGTCAGCAGGGACTGAAGAAAGTAATGGAGCCCGACAAGCCAGGGAGCTGTGGTGCGGCCATGACATCCTACGCTCCACTGACGACGGGGCTACATCCCGATACATCCATCGTAAGAGCAAAGGACGCTAAGTCCAAATGCGTTTAATACGCCTGACCTACCGCACGTCACAGCTCAGCCCGGCCCACCCTACACGTGCTCAGAACACTTCCATTAGCCCACCGCTGGGCCATTATCTTGAGTTGCAGCTCAAGCATAATTGCTTTCCTCCTCTTCTTCTCACCAGAAGCAGAGACACGGATGGGCATTTTGTAGACATGATGGGATATGAAAACACAAAACACAATATTCTCCAAACCCTGGCAAGGCAGCACACTGTAGGATATCGGTTATTGACCCTCACAGTCGCCTAGCTGACTTGCCACAGCTCCAGGCCACTGTCCAGTGTCCAGAGAGAATATGTTCCCCATATTGCTAGCCCTGGGAAAGATCAAAATTCAAAATTCTAAGCACAGTTTCTACTGAATGTGTGTTGCTTTCACACCATCATAATTTTTTTAAAAATCTTAAGTAAAACCACTGCAAGTCAAGTACCAGCTGTATTTCTTTTTTGGGGGGGGGAGGGGGTTGGATTTGGTATCCAGTCGATGTTAAAGTCCAAATTTTCTCCCAGCTTCTAAAGTAAGAAACTATGAAGTTTGCAAACCATCAAGGAATCTTGCTTCAAGAATTTGTTTTTTTTTAATCATTAACATTAAAAGGATACCAACTCAGTAGGTTCAAGCAGCATGAAGTTCAAAGGATTCTACTGCTTTCTTATCAACTCCCGGGGTAAGAACAAATTATTAGTCATCATTAAAAAGTCAGGCTAAATTATATCTAATGATCGTTTCATTATGTATGATAGCTAAGCAATGCAGCTATGACTTCGCATTTCTTGGAATGAAAAGTTCTCTTAAAGTATACTAAATTGCAAAATTATGGTAGTTTTCCGAGACAGGCAGTGGCAAATGATATTCAACGACTAGAGCAAGAAAATGTTTCTAGCATGTCATGGTGCCCTAGAGAGGCCAACCTAAGAAAGCCAGTGAGGCGTCCAAAGGTGGGATAGCATGTGTGCCCATCTTCCATTTCTGTCCTCAATACAGCCAGCCTAGGCTACACCTGGCAGGCAGGACCAGAAGTCAGAGCTCCCTCACAAGTTGAGGGAGGAAAGGAGTCACCCAGAGTTCCAGAGCTGAGGAGAAAGAACGTGGGGACAACAGTTCATTCAGCACACGTTTGTGGAGCATCTATGACGTGCCAAGCACTAGGAACGCAATGATGAGTAAAAACGTTACTAGCCCATGCCTTCCTGGGGCTTATCTACTAGGGGAGCAGACATCAAAAACTTGTCACACACACAGACGTAAACGCAGGTACGATGACCGCAGGGGAAGAGCAGGATTACCACGAGACTCCATCAGGGACCTGACCTGTGTCTGGACAGTCAGAGAAGGCTTCCTGAAAAGTGACACATCAGCCGAGAGCTCAAGTGTGGGCAGGAATTGTGAACCCCCTGGACAGCGACTCTCAAACTACCTGCAGCAAAGGGCTAGGTCATGTCAAACCCCAATCCACTAAGAGACCAATACTTTCACCATACATGAGGAAAATGTCACAGTAATGTCAAAATGTTATAAACGTTTCTAAACCTTTACTCGTCTTTCTTGTCCTCAGGCCAGTTACAAACAGTTCATGGTGCAGCTAATTCTTAGACCAGCTTTGAGAAGAAGGGAGTGAGAATAAGAGTGGACGGGAGACAGACACAGGCTGTGTGTTAGCAGGGCAGGTGCTGAGATCGGGGACGGCCATTTGGGACAGACAACCGATGACGCAATCTCTTTTGACTCACTTGATAATAAAAAATAAAAAAAAGCTCAGGGGTTGTCACTCCACAGTGAAGGAGTCACGTCCTTTGCTTGGGGTTGAGGTCCTTAACCCCATTTCTCCATTAGCCAGCTTTTTATGCTTCTAAGCACAGTTCAGTAACTACTGACTGACCACTATTTGAAGGCAAAAACAAAAATGTCATCTAAATTGACACTTGCAAATGCAACAGCATAAAATCACTGGAATTTTTCATGCTTTTATCTTTTAATTGACCTATTCAAAAAGTAAGCGGTTAAAAAAATGCAATTAACCAAATGCATCTATAATCATTGTATACTCAACAGGTAATCTGGACACTTCTCCGTAAAAGTGGAGAGAAGGTACATTTTCTTTTAACATGGACCTCAGCATTGTGCTATGTGTTGGCCATAATTACTAGAAAAAGGTCCCTGCAGAAAAACATTCTAACTGTAGAAAAAAGCATAATTCTGCCTTGCTTTTCTATGAAGGATGCTCTATTTTGCTTTTAAAAGTCTTTTAACCAGGGCAGAAGCATCATACATTCATAAAACTACATTTCTTTAACTCACAAAGTTTCCCCCCCCCCCCAGAAGCTGCTAACTTATTTACTGATTTACTTAAAAGTGCAGGGTAACATAGCACAAACTACTAGGAAGAAATGAATACCTGGGAAAGACTAAGGCTGGAGAAATAGATATACAAACCATATGAAAAAAAACAGATGTGAAAAAGGCGTCTGGTCTTTATATCTAACACTGCCAGTTTCCCAGATCAATCGTCACACTCACTAAAAACTGAGGGAAAACATTAACTCCCTTACTCATGCAAAGAATCCAATATATCCAGATCAGTGGTTCTCAACCTTGGCTGCACGTTAGCATCACCAAGAGAGCTTTTAAAAAATACTTATGCCCGGGTCCTATCCCACAACAATTAAAGGAGAATTTCCAGGGGATGGGGCTCCAGACAGTGGTCGTTGGCAAGCTCCCCCGGTGGCTGTAATGTGCAATGAGGCCTGAGAAGCCCTGACTGACATCACATGCAGAGATGCAAATCGCAGCGGAATGGAAATGTACTGGTGCATCTTTTATGTAATCGGTGCCTTGGAATGTCTGGCCTTTGCGTGCATGCTGGTAATAAGCCCGCCAGGTTTTACCCTCTGTACCTGTGACGTGTGTCCTCCCAACGGACACGCTCTCCCCTCACCCACCACTCCTCCAGGTCTGGGGCGGGTTTGGACTTAAGTAGGTTAGGATGACTTGTTTATCTCCTGGTAATTCACCACTGTGGGGAACTGCTAAAAATAGCTCTGTGAAAATATTGCTACAATAACAAAATTTAAAAGGCATGCTCACACTTCAAGAGCTATAATTTGGGAGTTAACAACATACAGACAAAAATCCATCTCCGAAGTAATTTATGGTTGCAAAGGCACCTACCTAAATGTGCTTACAGTTCAGCTGGACCTTTGTTTAGGAAAATAAACCGATTCATTCCAAAGACTTATTAAGTGATGTGAACGTTTCATCTTCATATATGCATTCATTACTGGGTGAATCATCCACCTCAGGCTCTCTGGACCTCAGCACTGCTGACAAATGGGCTGGATATTTCTCCGTTGCGGGGGCTGCCCTGGGCTTTATAGGATGTTTAGCAGCTCCCTCTGGCCTCTACCTACCAGATGCCAAAAGCATCGCATCCCAGCCCTGTCCCACACCATCCATAACTGTGAAGACCAAAAGTGTCTCCAGACGTTGGCAAATATCCCCCCACTGGGGGTGGGGGGACTGCCTCTTTTGAAAATCACTGGTCTACCCACGAAGGATCACAAACAAGCAGGTCACATGATCTTATAAAACCAAGAAAGGTACCTAAAAAGAGACTCTACCTGCACGCATAACTGAAGAACACAGATAATAAGGTTCTCTGTATTACAAAAGGATAGAGATCTGGCCTTTGGCAGTAAACCAAACCTTCCAAGCGGACATATGTTAACACTGTGAGGCTTTGCACTTTTTACTGCTTAGATGAACACAGTTAGGTGAGAAAGATCTGCTAACAAGGCCATCAAAACCCAAAGCAAGACTAGGTTTTTAAATGGTGCAGTATGGGTTTAGTGAGATGCTAACGCTGTGTTTCGAATATGACACACAGACAATGTAGGAAAAGAAGAGACATAGAAGCAATGGATCAAACATTCTCTGTTGGGGCATTTTCCCTCCATGTCACAGTCCTTGATCCACGAGTGATAATAAATGGCCAAAACGCCACCAACAATGGATTGGTGCTGGTGCCTGAAGAAGCCAATAAAGAAGATAGTGCTACAGACAATCTGATACCCTAGGCCAGGATAGAAACAGGAACTTGAAGCTGCCTCAAAGATGATAATACGTCCTTCTGAAACGTATAATCATTTGGGTTTTCCTTTGGCTGTTTTCTTCGCTTTAGAAACAGTAAAATGCGGGCCGGCTGAGTGGTGCGATGGTTAAGAACTGGCTTGGGATGCCAGAGGGCCCCGGTTCAGATCCCACATATGAGGGCCAGTGACACTGCCCT